AAATTGCATGTAATTGCTACAAACAAAAGACTAATACATGCTGTGGAAAATGCGACCATGGTTTTCATCAATGACAAGTTTTGTAAACCTGTATAAATTTTGAAAGGAAGTACTTATATGATACCTAATTCAGATATAAATTCTTCATAATAAGGTCGCCAATGTCTCATTACGAATGTTTATTCTTCTACCAAAGAGAAGTAAAGGAAACTTTCTTAATCTCTGATTAAAAGAAAAATTATTAATTTGATGAGTTAAAGCTAATGGAAAAATACAATTCTTTAAAATCTTTTAGAGGAGGGGTTCTAAGCATATATCATTCATTTTTTCAATACATAATTATCGGAATAAAAATTTCTAGTAAAAACTTCGGAATTTCTCCATAGCTTTGGTGTAAACTAATTTTTAAAATTGTAAGTAAACAACAGTGTTTGTCTTCTACCACTGCCTACGTGTTAACGAAAATACAACACTGAGTAGTTTTCAGATATTATTGGCTCAATATTCTAAATTTAATATTAAGCATACAAGACAATGCTGATAAATTGGGTATCTATATGAAGTTGTAGTTTTAAAATACTTTTGTTATTATTTTCGCTTAAAATTATTTTCTATTAATAGAACGCAACTTTGAAACTCCATGAAGTCAGTGCAAAAAAATTTAATTTTTTCAAAAGTTTATAGTAATTTTGATTTAGATGTACCGCAATCTTTGTATTTTTGTTGTTTCAGAACATTCACTTACCACCATATTAAATACACATTTTAAAATTTCATTCATATACCTAATAGATTCGTATAAAATCAAATTAGTATTCCTTTTTAAATAATTCATAAAATAGGTAACACTGGATACGAAATTCATTAATTTTATTGTAAAACATTGTTTTGGAAATAGCTGAAAAACTGGCTTTTATTCGCATAAATATTGGTAACAAGTTTCATTGCCATCAGTGGCACCGGCACCAATATTAAAAATGGACATTACGTAGTAATAAAGTAAAAATGTAGGCAGCCACGACAACATTCGTTATGTTCATGTTCCCTTTCTCATCGTAACTTATAAATTCTGTTACGTATATCCCCTTATGGTAAGAAATAAAACACGAAAAAAATTGAATAAACCGACGCCAATACCCGCTGTAAAACTATGTTCATGGATGAAGTTTTGCGAATCGGGCTAAAGATAGCATATGCATTTGCTGTTTTTTTTTTATCCGCTAATTAGCCCTGATAAAAACAAATTTACCGTTCTCGTTTGATTAGATGTCTTGCAACTTAGTAAATAAAAACTGGCAAACTATAAATTTTTTTCTATTTTAATATGTGACGACTTTATGATGACGATGATGATGAAGTGACCTGATAACTTCGTATGAACTTAGCAGGTATTGTAGTTTATTTTTTTAATAAACGAGAGCGGATTTTTTTATCATGGCTAATTAGCTGATAAAAAACAGCAATCTTTTTTGTATTTTAATTTTTTATTTAATATGTGACTTGATTATAACCTCATATGGACTTAGAAGGCATATACTTCATTAATATTTTTTAAAAAGCCAGAACGAGACTGACAGATAAAAAAATATCAAGTTGCAAACCATACCGTTTTCTATTTTATTTTTCTTTTTTTAATTTTGCAGGGCATTGAATATTTGCTCAAAACAAGAAAGGTATTTTTTGTTGATTAGCGGATAAAAAACAGCAAATTGCAATCCATCTTTTTTTATATTTCAATTTGTTTTTAATATTAACTTGGAATTAATGTGGAAATAAAGACAAGTCAACTAAAATAATTGTTGTGCAATACACAACTGGTATATGTATACTTATTAAATTTATTTTGAATTACATTATTTTATTTTTTATATTTTTCCCCGTTATTATTAATCTGAACGTATGACAATATATTATTGCACATCTTCGAAATCAGAAAAAGGAGAGAATTTAAAAATATGAGAATATAGGCAGTTTTATTGAAAAATATACTTGGAACACTCCTGGGCACATAACAGGGTTTATGAAAATTCTAGTAGCATATTTGAAATCACCACGAACAAAAATTAGTTACATAAACCGTTATTCTGAATTTTCAAAATATCACTACTAATGAAGTTAAAGAGGAGTATCAAATTAGACGATTCACTCTGTGATTAGTAACTATCATTTTAAAATACGAGCACATGCATGGCTTTTACATTATCACAAACTATTTTAACGCATACTTAAAATCAAATATAAGGTTATCTTGATGTTAAAAAAAGTAATGTATTTAGGTTCGATATACACAAAACCAAAAACGTATATACCGTTATATAAGTTAAATACTCTACAGTGTACATATATTAAAATGTTTCCAAAAGTAATGTTACATGTTTCAACTTACCATTCTTTAATAATCTTTATCATCGTTTTATATCGATTTTAGCACGATTTCTTCTCACGTTACCTCAAAATGGTTAAAAACGCAGAAAGGTAGTGATCATTTTTAAATAGGTACATGTCGCGATGAGCGAGTAATACTATTTAGTAACATGATAAGATAATATTGCCGTTTTATGTTCGAGCATTAGTGGTTTATCGCTAAATAGAAATTACGATATGAATCGTTTGTACGAAGTGCACTTTTAATGAAAAACATAGATACAGGATTGGTGTAATAAGTTTCGGAGTTAATACACATATATCGATTGAAATATGTACTCATCAATGTATCCGACTGAAAAATATACTAAAATTTAATAAAATCTGCATATGTACGGGGATTTCTTAAGCAATTAAATGTAGCTACTCTTAAAATATCATGGCTAAATATATTAACGTATTCATGTTAATTGAATCCAAAAAACGTCATTAAACACGAGAAAATGATAACTTTGTTTACAAAGAACATTAAGTTTTTGGTCAATAATTTATCGAAATGACTAGCGATTTCGAATTAATTAATTCACATCAGGACACAGCAGGCTGTCTCAATCGGGGGAAGGCACATATAGTTGACTTTTTAAGGTATAAACGGCTACTTGAGTTTTACGTAACGTATATGGGAGCCTAAAATGAGACATTACGAAATAGAAAATACCACAAATGGCGCGGTAAACGCCATCTGTAGAGTACGATGCTACATTTTAGGATTACGAATGCTCCAACAAGGTCCATTTAAATATATGGATATCTACTTGCTGAAACGAATCCCAGCGTAGCTAACCTCAACGTGATAGGTATGTTACCATAAATCGAATAAAATAATTCGAAGTGGTCTGTATTCTGTCTAAACTGCCAGATGCGGATCGCGATTTCGATCTTTTTGGATCTCATCAGCGTGTCGCAGGCAGCTCTGACAGAACACAGACCAACTTTTATCTGCTGTCTGACCAGTGCGTGTTAGAAAATATCACAAATGGCGCGGTAAACGCCATCTGTAGTACGATACTACATTTTAGGATGACGTATGCTCCAACAAGGTCCATTTAAATATATGGATATCTACTTGCTGAAACGAATCCCGGCGAAGCTAACCTCAACGTGATAGGCACGTTACCATAATCGAATAAAATAATTCGAAGTGGTCTGTATTCTGTCGAAACTGCCAGACGCGGATCGCGATTTCGATCTTTTTGGATCTCATCAGCG